TCCAGATACTCAACCATACTGTGCAGCCTAGATGTGACCTTTCATTTTTGCTTTCTGGTTCATTGATTTATTCCACAGGCAGTGTTAATGGGCCCTATGGCATCACATTGCTAGATCAGTCTGGCTTGCACTTCTAAGCAGCAAGCCATAATGGGGGCTTGCTATCATTCATGTGAGTTTTACCAGTATTTGAGATGCCTGGACATGGCATTTAAAAAGAGACTTTGAAGGGCCGCTGTGGAGTAAGCTTTTAATATGTTTAATATATGTAGGTTCTCCCCCCCCCCCCCAAAAAAATTATTGGCAGGGAAAATGAAAAATATACTTGTAAATATACTTCTGTATAGTAACTAATCAGGAGTTGGTTATTTTTTCCTGTGGGATTACAAAGTGATGTCATCGAGTCACAGTGTCCACTGGTGGGTGGGCAGAGGGCGTAGGCATGAGAGGATAAAGTCTCCCCCCATCCCCACGCGTGCTGCCCCTTCTCAGGCCCCATACGTGGAGCCAAGCCCCACCCACTGCTAGCCTGGCCCTCTCTGGTGGTCACGTGGAGAGCTGGGCCTGGCATGGGGTTATGGAGGAGAGAAAGGGCCTGTTAGGCCATGGGTGGGGGAGGAGACAAAGCGCCCAGGCCAGCACAGCTGGAGTAGAGGGAGAGGAAAAAGGGCCCGGGGTTGGTTTGGGTGAAGGGACAAGAGAGGAAAAAAGGCCCGGAGTGGCAGGGCTTGGGGGGGAGGAGAAAGGGCCTGAGATTGGCGTGGCTGCAGCCTGGCCCTCCCCGGTGTCCAGGGCGAGAGCCGGGGTTGCCTATCCCCATGAGAAGGGGGTTGGCAAGCGTAGCGAGCAGGGGGCATAGCCCACTAGTATTGATTAATTAACTGATTCATTCTTTTTACTGTATTCCTTAATACTTGTGCAATAACAAGTCTTGGGTACTGGTTTGTGTAGCATATTGATAATCTATGATGACAGCCCCCCACAGTATGAGCAAAATGCTTAACAGTCCAAGAATATTTGTTTTACTGAAGTTAATGCCTGAGACGCATAAGCGATTGTTCTGTTTTTTGAATTCCTATGCTGACCCAAAGCAGTTGCCAGTGCTGTCCCTGTTGCAGTAGCTGCAAATAATCAGATTGGCACAGTGTACAATCTGAGGTTAATGCCTGTTTCAGTAAATGACCGCTTTAATCAATAGTGCATTTCATATTAATTTTCAGCTGCTGTTTTTAAGTAAAGCATATTTCTGTCTATTCAGGTATAAACTTCTGTATTCCTAGAAATTCTGAGTTGTTAATTTAACATTTTTTAGAAAATATTCCAGTAACAAAAATATTTTGCAAAATACTAGTAATATTATGGCTTTTCTTTAACTGTTTAATATGAATTTTCAGATTTTTGATGCCTTAGTTGGTAAATTTTGCCAGAAGTATATAAACTAAGATTAGACTTTGTCCGAGGGCTGAGGATTCATACACTTAACCTTTGGGAAAAGGGGATTATGTTACCCTGCGTGGAGTTCGCTCATATTTTGAGCATTTACAAACAAAGCTACCCCTGAAATATAAAACAAAATTACTTTATTGTTATTACAGCATAAAATAAACTTAACAAAGTGTAATATCACAAATAATTATAGTTCTGATCAAAAATAATTTTCCTGTGACACAAGGAAAGGCCAAATGAGAGTTAAAATAAAAATGGGCATGTGACTTTGAACATACATAAACAATATGGACAAAAACAATAAGGTTAGGCAAATTGAACTAGAGTATTCTAAAACACTAACAGCAAATGAACACTTTAACATATCAATCTGAGTGAGAAATACTGAAAAGGTTTTCAGGATTGGTTATTGAGGGAAAAACATAAGCTGAATAAAAAGTGAGTGCCTCAAAGAAGAAAAAACCTGAGTTGTTAACAGTTAATTACTGTTATAGTTCATTCATTGTCCTGTTTTTCTTGAATTACTGCAGCAAAACAAAAACTATTAAATATGTTAAAAGAAATCATGCAATACCAATACTTTACGTAGGTATTTGAAGATTTTTATGCTTGCCTTTTTTCCCCTACTTTTGAGTGCAGCGATATATTGGGTACTTACCACAGGACTTCCAGTGTTCCAGTTTTTTACTTTTGGTCTGGTCTGTATTAGGGATTTACTTGCATATAGCTGTGTCTATCAGAGAAATGAAAAATCCACACCCCGAGAGAGACCAATATATCAACCTAACCTTTGGAGTAGTCCAGCTGTAGGTTGGCAGGAGAATTCTGTTAAGTTTGTGGATTTGGGTGTGGAGTGGCATCTAGCACTATGTTTTACCTTCTCTATGACTTAACACTAGCGCAAACTTTTAATAAACAATTTGAGAGGTGTTTAATCATTTAACATTATCAGTGGCTGCATTTTCCCAAAACTGTTTCTGTGAGATGGCTGGTGGATGGGTGGGAATGCGAATCAGGCTAGCTATTGTCTTCCTAAAGGTACAGAGAGGGCAAGAGAGTGCCTTTCCTTAAATTATCTATAGCTTGATTGTACACCATATGGACATACAACTATCTTTCCATAGCTGCCTGTTTGGTGTTGCTTTTAATTTCTAACTGTCATGACACAATGATTGATTTTTACTGAGAGCAAATACTGTGTCTGTCACTTAGCTGCCAGCTTCAGCCTGTTACTTATAACTGTTTGCAGGATTCAGTTACCTTCATCAAACAAAACCTGTAATTTCATCAAAAAATGTTAGGCAAGAGCTGTTTTCCATAAATCCTTGTTGACGTGCAGTAATTATGCTGCTGTCTTTTGTTTACTAATTGTGTCTCATATTAACCTTTCCACGATTTTGCCTGTAACCTATGTCAGATGAACTGGTCTGTAGTTTCCTGGATCATTCCATTTACTCTTTTAAAATATTGGCACAACATTAGTTTTTTGCCTATGCTTTTCACCAGTGTCCCAATATTTAATGGTTCGAGAGTTTATCAGAGAATTCTTTTAATATTTTTGGATATAAAATATCTGTTCCTGCTGTTTCCAAAATGTTCTACTTTAACTGATGCTGAGAAGATATATTTGGGATGGAATAGTCACTGTGGCTGGTGCATGGTTCAGAACAGTACGTCCAACAAGATACCTTGAAACTAGTGGCAGGAGGGGAGTGGAAAGGGGGGGGCGGCAAGGGGCAGGAAGTAGGAGTTAGCTCTTGTTGGTTTTTCTCTTTGAAAAAGTCAGATCTGGGATAGGTTAAGATGTGGGGGATGGAAAATAGAGGGTTTTAGAAGGTATCTAATGGTGACTGAAGTGTGGCAGTCCCTCAGGGTAGAAAACTAAAATGGCATAGCGTTAAAAGTGGTAGAACTGAAGGGGGAGAGGTGCAGAAGTCAGCATGATCTTGTGCCTGATCTGTGTGCCTGACCTGTGTGTGAGTAAGAATGAAGACAGTGGCTGTTGGTGGTCATACAGGGGTTGGCATGGTGACCTTGCACCATGTAGCTAAACCCTGTATTTAATCCCATTTCTGATTTTTCAGTACACCAAATAGCAGCACCATAGGGAGCTTAGAGTTGATGAGCATGAGAGAGCAGAATTGAGTGGAGGAAGCATGAGGGAAAATGTGGCATAAATTAGGGGGACCGATGTTGGAGACAGTGAGACAAGGCTTTATATGCTACATGTTGCATTGTCCCATTTTGTGTGGGATTGTAGGCTGCAGGTAAGATAATGGGAAGAAGGTGAAATTAAGATTGTTAGTGGCAAAGGTTGGGTGAAGGTTAGGCTAATGATATCCTGGATTTTTATGGTTTTATTGCTAGTGTATGCACGTAAACAACCTGAATCTATATTTAATTTTGGCAGGATTTGTGGAGGATTGGATTATTCACAAGGCTAAGCAGGTGATTTGTTGGATAGTGGAGGCAGACTGTAATACAGGTTCAGCCTCTCTAGTCCGGCAACCTTGGGACCTGACTGGTGCCGAACCAAAGAATTTGCCAAAACATGGAAGGTAAATGTTGTTTAGCAGCATTATTAACACTTCCACTGCTTACTGGGCTTTTAGAAAATATTTAGGAGTAAATTAGAGCTAAATAACAGAACACTGAGAACCAGGACTGTTGGCTGTTAACAAACTTTATCGGATTGTGGGAAACTTGGCCACACCCATAATAATTGGGCATCTGATTTAACTAAAATCATGCTGGACCATGGATGTTTTTCCAGACCAGAGAGTACCAAAACAGAGACTTTAAAATTTTAAATCACTTTATAGTTGGATGAAAACTAATCTGGAAGGCCTTAAGTGAGAGGTCCAAATGTATCCTTGCTGCTTCCAAAAACTACAATTCTGACGATACAATGATCCACCTTTGGTTTTAATGACAAGGCATTCAAATCAGGATGGGATGTGCAGTGCTGGGAGCTGTAGTTTGTGCAGGCCATGTTGCTTGAATGGCTTGGGTGACTGTAGTTTTGCTATGTTGCTCATTAAACAGATTGTTGATTCAACCCTTTGTTGAGCAAAAGGAAGGGAAGAGCCCTCTTTGTATTTTTTTAAAGTTGGTCATTCCTAAACATAACTGTGTGTTCTGTGTATCAGGAGAGATGCACTTATGAAAACATGTCAGGCCTGAACATGAAATTGAGAACATGGGCCTTTTCTTTTTAAATTGTTGAATAAAAAGGCAAGGGAAAATACTGAGACATGATTTACAATAACCAGTCACTGCCCCAGAAAGATGAACATTCTTATGGTTCATGAACAAATATTACAGTAAAGAAAGACTGAGATTTACTATTGGAGCTGTGGCAAAATACAGTGTAGTATGTGTTTGAGAACTGGGACTAATTCTATACTGAAATATTTCTGTGAAAGTCTGTTTGAGTCAATATAATTGTCTACAGTAAGCCAGTGCAGAATATGGCTTTTTCTTGTTAAAGGAGGGTTGTCACAATTGTTGGTTCCTTCATGAAACCAGGCTCTGATTAGCATTTGTTTCTTTAGAGAAGAAGAGGAACGCCTGAGAAGTAAGATCCGAGCAGACCATGAAAAAGCTCTAGAGGAGGCAAAAGAGAAGCTGAAGAAATCTCGCGATGAGATTCGAGCGGAGATTCAAACAGAAAAGAACAAAGTAGCCCAAGAGATGAAAAAGAAAGACAGCAAGCCACTCCCACCTGTACCAGTACCAAACCTCATAGGGATAAACAGTGCAGACCCAACTGATAAGGACATCCGAGAGAAGCGAGACAAAATTAAAGAGGTAATGGGCAGAGTGTGATCGTGGTTGTTGCAGGCTGTGATGGGAACTGTTTTACTTAGATTTTCAACCATTGCTGTTCTGAACATTTTATTAAATCCTATTTAAAAATAAGTATGATTATAAATCTTTAAAAATATTTAAAAAACCAACACATTTAGTAACAAACACACAAGAACTATTCATCTGTGTGAAAGGAAGAATTGAATTCTGATTTGCACTCAGAAATAACAAAGGAATATAGGTGTCTTGTGGCACATTGCCAGCATTGTGCATTAAGTTGTTTCTCAGTACCCTGGCTCTCTGATGCAAAGGATTCCTGCAACATTTGATACCAGACAAACAGAACGGATGCATATATGGTCATCTATGCTGTCAAATAATGAACATGTGATTGATACTTATGTTTCTTATGCTTCAGAACACTGGTCCATGTAGTCCTGTGTCCTGACTCTTAACAGTAGCCAAAACCATCTGCTTCAGAGGAAAGTGTAAAAAGCTCCACGGTGGACAGTAATGGAATTGTCCATCAGAGAAACTTGTTCCTAGTTGGTGTGCTGTGTAGGGGTCAAAAAAGGGGTCTGATGATAGGTGTACAGCCTGGGCAGACACTGCTTTTACTGATTTATAGACTTTGATTCCTCCTTTTCTTCTTCCGGTAGTGTCCCCAGGGTGCAGGTGTCGGGCTGGTCCCAGCGCCGCGGGTTGGAGAGTCATCAGCTGTGGTTCAGTCGGACTGCGCATGCGCGGCGGCACGTGCTTTTCATGCTGTTTGTGAGCTTGCGCGCAATCCGGCTTCTGCCAGTTCCTCCTGACTGTTCACGGTCGCAGGCGGAGCAACTTCTTTCTCCTCAAACCTCTCAGCGAAATCTGTAGAATAGTTTGTTTAGTAAGTTAATAGTTCATAGTTAGTTAGTTAATTACTTGTTACCCCGTGTCAGTTTAAAAAAAAAAATTTTTTTTCTCCTCAGTTCATCATGCCGGCTTCCCCCAGCTTCAAAAAGTGTGCGCAGTGCCGCGACGCAATGCCAGCGTCTAATGGGCACTCTGTGTATTAAGTGCTTGGACGAGGGTCATATACCCCCCAAAATGCCCATACTGCACAAAGCTGACTGCCCGAGCCAGGCGGGACTGCAAGGTGTGGTTAAAACTGCTCCTTTTCAGCAAAGCCCTCCAGCCTGCTGACGCTGAGTTGCCCAAGCCATCCACGTCTGTGGCCCCAGCAATGGGCAAAAAGTCGCCTCTCTGCTCATAGTCTACATCTAAGAGTGTGAGTGATAAGCCAGGTACCTCAGGAATCAGGTTACTTCGGCATGCCGAACGGTATAAGTCAAGCCATAGTGTCTCGGAGCCAAACCCCTCCCTTCATAGGGGGTCAGCATTGACACCGGTGGTGCTTCTAAGACCTGAATTGGCCCCGGCTCCTGCCAAGGAAAAGTCTTTGGCACCGACTACTGTGACTTCCTCAGTGCTGTCCGCACCTCTGTCGGCCTCAGGGGCGCAGGCATCGGCTTTGGTGGTTGCGGCACCGACTGCCCCGGCACCAGGCTCACAGCAGTTGTCCCCAGCACCGTCTTCGGCACCATCGCTGAGTGGATCATTGACGCCGACTATCCTGCCAGCACCGAGCAAGTCTCGTCGAAGAGCAATTGAGTCATCGACCAGACTCGCTCCAGACCCTCTCACAGGGCATGCTGTGGCACCGAGTCATCGTGGTTCTGGGGCAAGCCAGTCACCAGTTCAGGGAAAGGGTAAGCACAAGCATCAGAGGATAATAACCCCCTCTCCAAGCCCAGAACCCGGTGGTCTTCTCTCCCCAGCCACTATCACCAGCCTCTGTATTTTCCAAGCCACTTCAGCAAGAAACCTGGACCACGCCTATCTCTCAACATCACAGGCGTTCTCCACAATACTCACCATCCCCTCAGCAATATTGCAGGCATTCCTATTCATCATATGCTAGGCACCGATCTCGCTCTCCGAGGTCACCTACATGCTCTTCCTCCTCTACGTGCCATCATGACTCCAGAAGATGATACTCACCAGGTTATTCACCTAGACGTTATTATCAGGACCAATATTGCCATCATCGAGACTACCATTACTGATGTCAATATTCCTCGGGACACTCTTCTTCTAGGTCTCCACGCTGTCATCAGCGTCACTCTTACGGCAGCTGCAGGCTACCAACGCCACCAGAGGCTTCCACTTGACCACCTACACCATCTGGAGATGTTCTTCTTCCTCTGAGACAACCGGAACCAGTGCCGGTAACTGCACTGGAACAAACATAGCCCCTATATGTTTACGGTCTATATGTTAACGGTGCAAGTACAATCTCCAATGGACCAATCTTCTTCCTCACTGGACGATGCCGTTTTCCCTGGAGATTCTTCCCCGGTAGACGACATTCATCAATTTCATGAATTTTTCAGAAGAGTGGTGGAATACCAGGAGCTACATGTGGCGGAAGTTCAACTGAAACAGCATTGTCTCCTGAAGAACCTCCCACAGTCTCAGAAATCCAAAATGGCACTACTCTTTGAGGCAATCCTAGAGATTGTGGATGATATTTGGCAAACACCTGTGTCATCCCAGCCCACACATAAGAGGGCAGAGAAGAAATATTTCGTCCCCCCCGAAGGGGATGGAATTCTTGTTCACGCACCCGCAGCCAAATTCTTTAGTCGTTGATGCAGCGCAACAAAAATCCAAGACATCACAGCACAGAAATATTGACAAGGAGTCCAAACGATTAGACCTTTTTGGACGGAAGGCTTATTCCTCCGCCACACTTATGCTAAGAATGGCGAATTATATTGCACACCTCTCCAACCATAGTTTCGATAATTATTTGAAGATGGTAGCAGTATTAGAGCACTTGCCTGAAGACAAATGGCAGCTCGTTAAAGCAGTAGTCCAGAAAGGCTACACAGCCTCAACAACGGCCTTGCAAATTTCCCTGGATATTGCTGTTGCGGCGGCACGTGCCACAGCAACATCAGTGGTCATGAGGCATTCTTCCTGGTTGCAGATGGCATCAGTACCTAAGGACTTACAAACAAAGGTCGAGGTCTTTTTGTGGAAAAAACTGATTGTTTCTTGCACTCCAGAAGAGACTCTAGAGCTACCCTAAGAACACTAGGGAGGTGTGTACATCCCTAATCGTTGCAAACACTACATACCTTACTTCAAGCAGAGGCCCCTCTCGTATATGGCGCCCAGATATAGACAACACGACCAACAGCAACAACGCGGTAGACCACGACAGCAAAAGTGTAGACCGCAAACTGGAAGAACTTCAAATCCTCAGAACAACAGGCAGCAAGTTTGATGGTCCTATCGATGGACTACGAACCATTCCGTTAACATATCTGCCAGAATCACAGAAGTTGTTTCACCTCTGACTGAGACCTTACCAGCACAGAGGGTTTGCCATCACCACAGCTCGCTGGGTCCTGGAATTAATAACATTAGGATACTCCATTCCCCTTCTCCACCACTCCTCCCCCAACCCCGTCCCTTTTAATGCAAGAGGTTCTCTGACTCATTAGAGATTGTGGCGGTGGAAGCAGTGCTTGAACAGTTCCAGAGCAAGGGATTCTACTCCCATTATTTTCTCACCGAGAAGAAATCGGGAGGATGGAGACCGATCCTGGACCTTCGAAATCTCAAATGGTACCTCAGGAAACAAATTCAAGATGGTGACTCTAACGTCTATCTTCCCAGTATTAAACAAGGCAGATTGGTTCATGTCCCTCGATTTGCAAGATGCGTATTTTCACGTGACAATACACCCAGCTCACAGACACTTCCTGAGGTTCGTCATAGGCACGCAGCACTTTCAATACAAGGTCCTCCCGTTCGGCCTATCATCCGCGCCCAGGATCTTCTCCAAGATACTCTCGGTGGTTGCAGCGTATCTCCATCGCCAGGGCATCATGATCTTCCCATACGTGGATGACTGTCTTACCAGGGTCCATACCTACGAGCACACACTTTGGGCCACCGAAGTCACAAGAGACTTATTTGTGGATCTGGGCCTCGTACTGAATTTCCCGAAGTCCTCACTCATACCACAAAGATCCCTCATGTTCATTGGGGCACGATTAGAGTCTATAACGGCCAAGGCCTATCTTCTTTCAGAAAGATTCCACACAATACAGAGCCTAACTCAGACACTGTCCGTCAGTCCAAAGGTGCCGTTGCCATTGATGGTGTGACAATCCCTGATGTGGTGGACTTCTCCAATCAACATGCTCTCCGGGGTCCTGTTCCACCATCTGTATCCTACTGTTCAAGTTACTTCAGACGCTTCTTTCCTAGGCTGGGGAGCCCACTGTGAGGGCGAATTCATTCAAGGCCAATGGAATACACAAGAAGTTCTCCAACATATCAATTTCCTGGAACTCAGGGCAGTATTCAACGTGTGCAAGGATTTGTGGACAGACAGTTCAAGTCTTTACCGACAACGCTACCACGGTTTACAGGGTGGAGCCCGATCCAGATCCCTTTGCAAAGAGGCCACGAAGTTATGGAATTGGTGTATAAGTCACAGAATCACCATTGTGGGCACATACCTCCCAGGCAAGGACAATTCAATTGTAGATGCCTTGGGCAGACATTTTTTTCCTCAACACGAGTGGGAACTCAACTCAGAGGTGACCCACTCCATATTTCAGCGGTGGGGACGCCCCACTATAGACTTATTTGCGACACATCTCAATGTGAAATGCCCAAAATACTGTTCCAGAGCCAGCCTGGGGCCGAAATCCATGGGGGATGCATTTCTGATAAACTGGACTCACAATCTCCTCTACGCCTTTCCTCCAGTTCCACTTCTCCCGAGAGAATTAGAGAAGATAATCAAGGACAGGGCCATGGTGATACTCATAGCCCCATTTTGACCCAGAAAGATGTGTCTTCCTCTCCTCTTACAAATGTCTCGCCAACCACCATATCATTTACTGAAACGACCCGACTTGCTCACGCAACAGGGACTG